TTGCGTACTCTTTAATATTTATAGCGAATCCTTGATAAAGAGAGAGAGAGAGAGAGAGAGAGAGAGAAAACGCATCTCGATGCACGCAACGAGCGATTTCCGCTGCAGCAAGGCGCAACGCGTCGCAAAGGCCCGATTGTTACTACGACAGCGATATGGGAACTTTTTTCACGAGTGCGATGAATTTTAATACGCGTCTCAAGGCCTGCGGACGAAGGTGTATAAAGTATAAAGCGGGATTACGGAGAGGCTATACAGGATACTGTGTCGAGGCTTGGTAACTCCACCACCGTTGGCGATATCTGACGGCCAATGGGGTACGAGTTTCCTTCTCTCGGCGCGAAAGACGGCTCGTATTACATATTTACAATGTGCGCTAGCGTTAAAATTTTTCAAAAGCGCGGCCGCCGCGCGAGATTTTGCGGAGGACGTAAGTTTCGCTATGGGTAAGTGTGATCCTGAAAAGCACAGCGATGGAATTTTTCCATCTCGCGCACTTCAAGCGCGACGTTGAGCAACGGATAAGGTGAAAAATATTCAATTATGAAAGCACCAGTTAACAAGGATAATGTCTACATTGGTCGAGGAAGATAAATTATGGTAATACTGTCTAATGAGAAATGAGAGAGGTAAATAACAGGTAACAATTAGAATAAGTATATGTTACAGATTAATCCAATAAGTATGGACGGTATTTAAGATTTTCATCCCCTAACAAATAAAGTACACAATGTGTTATTTAATATCTTATATTTTTGCTTGAAATTTAGCTTTATATTTGTTGTAATTTTTTAAATAAGGTGCTATGGATAGCTCTAAATTTTAGTAGACAATCGTTATATGCGAATATCTAAACACTATGCATTTTCTTTTTTCATCGATTTGAGAATGCCATAACTGAACATACAAGGCGTTAAAAAGCCTGTGTTGATAGTAATTTATTGTCTTGTTTGTATTTTCATTAAAAACTGTAATACTTTGAGAAAAAAACGCAATAGGGCGTCCATAGACATTTCTTGACAATAAATTTTATCTGTAGCAAAGTTTGTTAATGAAAAAATTTTATTATTGTTTATTAGTTCAATTATTTGTTTCATAGAAAAGTTTGATAAATTTAGTATGTTATTTCAATTTATGTGTTAATTGATATATTCAGATTTGTGCTATAAACTTCGTGATTCAATATCTACATAAACTATTTCTATTTTATTTAAATCGTTTTATTTAAGTCATTGTGAAAACTGTGGTTACTATACAAAATTAATAATTAAGTTATTAAAGAATTAAAATTTTTGGATATTAAGTCTAAAGATATTTAATTAAGAAATTATTTATTAAGTAATAATAATTTTATACTATAAATTTTTATTATATGTATAGCGAATCGGTAAATTAAAACAATAATTACTTTTAGTTAACATTTTATTTTATATTGTATATAATTTAACAACGCCATGTTAAAATAAATCTTATTAAATTATAATATTATTAGATTAGCACTTTTTTATATTGCTTTATAAAAGTATGAAATATGCTTTCCAAATTTTTAACGTAAATTTTTTTGATATGTTTGAAAAAATGTTAAAGCTGTAGCTTCCAAAATAAAATTCATACTGTTATCTCATATATTTATAGCAAAGATTAAAAAAAATATATTCAATAAGAAATTATAGTTCGTCAGTAAATACTCAATCTCGGATTTTTCGCCGTTTATCAATCGATATATACCGATCGAGCAAATTCTGATTTACCGTTCGCTTAATTTCTGTGCGATTCCTCTCATCTCCACTACAGCGCTGCTTCAACTAAAACGCACTCGTTCCCACGCGATATCGCGCATCAGTTCACGGACTAGCGTCATCAACGAACGAGAGAGGCGCAGTGTTTTGGATGTCATTGTCATATGCGACGGCAGGCATGGCCAGCATCTTGACGTTTTGTTTGCTGCTCGTCGTCGTATCGGCAAAGTCGAGTTATACCACGCGGCGCTCAGTGAGTACGAATTCTCTAACCTCGGCCTAGTGTAGAGTAATCGACCGCGCAATTGCCACACAATGCAATACAACCCAAGCAGCATCGCGACGATTGACGTGTTGTCGAAAAAGAAAGATCGCGTGAGTCATCGCTGAATCGCAACGCTTTCGACTTCCGCGTTGACACACGAGCGTTTCCTGGACTTTGTTCTTGATCCGCGTAAATCGCTCGAGGGGCGTGTTGTGTTCGAAGCATGAATCCTAACTTCGCTTCCGATCGCGTTCCCAAATTTCCAGTCGTCCGGATACGCGCGTTTGCACGTCACGCTGGAAGCTTGTCACAATTTCGCCTGTTATTGAACAGGTGGACTCATTGATAAATTGGCTACTGTGGCGTATTAACGGCTGATCGGATAAGTGCACCATACGCGACCTAGATTGTTTGAGATTTAAGGGCACGGTCGATCGTAATGTGCGGCGCGTGAAATGCGAAGATTCGAAATGGCATTGATATTTTCGTTCGAATAAGATTTAAATCTTATTGATGAATGACTTGATGTTAGCAAACAATGTAGTAGTAAAAAACTTCAATGCGGGAAGTTTAGTGTTTAGAGTTTCGATAATTTTTGTTTATTATGTTTTTTGTATTGGATTGTTTAAAAAAATTTTTTTTTCTAGTTTTCATATATGAAAATAAAATTAAAAATAAACTGGAATGCTCTGTGAACAACTTTATACTTTCCATCTGTTGATTAGATATGTAATCTTATCAGCTTTTACTAGTTGTGGTCATACAAGTGAAATTTGTTGGATAAACGAGAATACTTCGGAAATTGTTATTAATATCTCAAATGTTTATAGATGTTCAATACCGTATCTTGCACACACAAGCCTACTGTGTTAAATTTGTAATAAACTAGAGTATCGATCTTAGAAATGAATTATTAAGTAAGTATATATCAAGGCGACGTTGTAAAGTTCTCTTGAAAAATGGGACAAGAAAATCTATCATGTTAAAAGATTCACGTTGACGTAAATGCAGCGCGCCGGGCACGTTATTCGCGAACGCTAAAGTGAATAAAAACGATTAAAAATAAAATCGTCACTCGCACGCGCGCGACGCTCATAATTAATGGCGCGGTGCAAAATTTTAAATCTTTCACGGACCTGTTAAAAGTACGATAAAATAAACGAATTTTTTTTTTTCGTATCAAGTACTTTTGCAAACTCCTCGATTTTGGCAAACTAAAGAGAGAACGCAGCGTTTTCGTCGTTTTAAATTACGGCTCGCGTGTAAATATGAGCCTGCACATCGTACATTAACGTAATCATAACATCGTTTCGTGTAATAATCGACGTGCGGCCAGTAAGTTTGCGCGGGGGGGGGAGTCGAGGGAGACTAGCGTAGAAGCGACAAGGCCGTCGGACACAATCCAGCACTGATCTAGGTCATCCGTCCGTTAATGCGCGAACGTCGTTTAATCGCCGGTCTCTGGAGTGATTTATAAAACGCCGCTGATTTATTCCCTTTCAGTTACGATCGTGGGTGAATCCGGACTGCAACGAGCTGTGCCGTGAACGCAACGTGACGACGCTCTACCTGCGAGCCGACGGCCCGAACGACACGTTACATTACTTATGGGATTTCGTCAGCAATCCGTCCGTACTGCTGGCGGTTACGCCATCGTCCGCCTGGCTCAACATCAGCTGGGACGATTATCTCGCGAGGAGAGAGAAGTCGCTTATCTTCTCCGAGAAGCCCTACTACACTTTTGGGATAATAATAAATAAGGTGAATTCTCGCACACTTTTCTTAGCTATACAATCAGGGTTTGTTTGTTTACTCGTCGCCAGTTATGAAGAGGAAAATATATCGGATGAGAACGCGAAAATAATTTTTCACACCGTCGAGTCTTGATTGAAATTATTGAAATGATTTTTTTGTCGACATAAGCGCGGCCCAAAGTTGTTTGCCGAAACGTTTTTGTAATATTATTCCGTGTTGATTTGTAATATATTTTACGTCTTGAGACACCCGTGCTTGGTTCTCTTAATCGCACTATTGATGATAAAGTATAAATGGTAAAAAATGTGTGCAAAGACAAGTGATTGATTGACATATGCTGAGAATTTTCTTTAATAAAGAACAGGAGAATGTATATTGAAATAATTATTGCTAATAAGAAGATTTAACTCCGAACTTGAAGACGAATTCAAGTGAGTGATATAAATCCACTCGTCGCACACCGCCGTGCCGAGTGTGAGGGCACACCTTGTGGTTTCTTAATTAAACCTTTGCACTCTAATGTCTCCACTTCGTAGAACTACTCTTCAAGACTGTCTTCTCCCTCTGAGAACACGCGGAGTCTCTCTACGTAATTTTGTTACGTCGTGAAGGAATATTTTGGCACTGCGGAATGCAGAGTGCAAATTTCCGGTCATTTCTAACGTCGCTATTAAAATATACTCACCGCTCATTCAGTAAATTAATTCGATGCAGCATATTGCGAGCATAAAATTAATTCCGATGGGATTAATCCTTTGCATGCAAAACGTATAATTGATAATTGATTCGCCATCAATTGACAGAATTAATGGTCGCGTATAAAGCGATGAACAAACAAATTCTGTGCGATCGATAGACTGCATTCGTCGGGAGTTTCGAGCGCGATAGTCAATATCGACGAAATCGCGGTTTAATTTATTGTCATTAATGTGCGATCTCGTGCGAGAAATTGCGATTGTATTTATCTAAGTCCAATTTCGCAGCTTCGCTGTTCAATGACTCGTTCTCGCCGTCTGTCATGATTTTTATGTTCTGTGTGATTGATACACTTTTGCGCGAACCGTCGGATCTGCCGGATGATAATTGCGATCGTTCTGCGTTACAGATTATCGAGTTCAACGACAGAAATGACACGGCACTGATTTACACTGCCGACGTCGCCAATACGAATGTTTTGCGTCCCGAATATTTCAAGTGGCGGCGCGTATCTCTGTCGCAAAACAAGGAATTCGTCTCTCTGGATATGGAGGGTAACTCTTATCACGATACTGCTAAGAATATCAGCAGATACGGGAGTGTAAAGCTTTCGGTAAAGTATTCTGCAACATTGAAGCGAAAGTATCAGTGGTACATTATGTAGTGAAGTGCATGCGAAAATAAATTGCGCGCGTATGAAGCTCGATTGGCTCTCTCGACTCTCGACGAGAGCAGCTTCGCTTTGCGCCGGAACGTGTAGATATTGCACTGGCAAGTAAGTTCGTTCGGTTTTTGGTTGGTACTGCTCGCAATGCCGATTTCACTCTTTTCCTTTCGGTGCTACATTGCAACTCATTTCGGCATTTGAACGGTCATCTTTTACGTAAATTTTCCATAAGGTTTGGTTGCGCTGACATTAGTATTGTGTGCGCTTGGTACTTGTAAAATGGAAGCGGACAAAGTGCATTATCGTCATGTTTTGCGTTATACTATTTGCAAAAAGGCAAGCGAGCTGCGGATGCTCATAAAAAAAATATGCCGCGTGTATGGAGATGATAACCCTAACAGAACGCGTATGCCAAAAATGGTTCGCCAAACTCTGTTCCGGAAAATTTTGATAGGAGATTTGATCGCCCTACCGAGATTAATTCGGATGATATCAAGGCCCTCGTCGATAATAATCCATCCCAATCGGCGCGAGAGATTGCTACAGCACTCAATAGATCCCACACGAGTGTTGAAAATCATTTGCGCAATAAATGTGTTATATTCCGATTATAAAAAAAACCGAACGAACCTATTTGCCGACCCAATACATTCGGCTTTCTCGTCACACACTCGTCGTGCAAAGCGCTTGTGTAAGATCTACTTTCCTTCGCTTTCCAGCTCCGAGGATTCTGCACCCTCGCTCACTCGGATATGTTGCCGCATATGCTGCACACGGAGAATTCGACCCAAGTGGACATTATTCTCGATCACATTCAGACCAACGAAACGTTTTCCAATAGCAGATTCGCTATTGAATTGCTTGCGGTCGGCGGTGGCAACCCCAAGATACCGATGATCATTGATACTAAAAAGAGTTTGGACGACGAGCACACGCCGGGTATATTCAAGGTTAGTGATCGGACATCTGCCGCTTCCGCTCATTAATTTATCACTCATTTTACGTGTATATATTTTTTGAAATTAATTTTTCAATTTGCTGATTTTTATCCTTTTAATTCAGCACATCATAACGATCACTCTAATAATGCAGATGATATTTCTTTTCAGGTTATCGAAGTTAGAACGCCACCGTATAACAAACTGGACGGCGCGTTATTCTCCGGAGCGTATTTACAGTGGCGACCGGTGTCATACAACACCGCATCACGCGATGTAACCAGTTCGACGGAGACAAAGGAATATCCACCAGAGAAAGTGTTCAATCATACGAGCGCGATCGAAAATTCGATGCTCTACTGTTATTACGGAAGCGACGTGGACGATCTCCTTTTACAGAAGTTGACGGTTTCTTTGGGCATGGAAGGGGACGGTTTTTACAAGAAGACGCATTATTCCACATGGTGAGAACTTGTTTATACGCTTGATTACTAATTTTTTTTTAATAACGAATACATTTTTAAGTATTTCGTAAAAAAAGGATCGCAAAAATTCTTATTAGCTTTTATAGAAAATTCTTTCCCATCGCAGTATATATAATTTACGGATATAATAATTTGAAACGATTTTTATATCGCAGGACTTTTATAATCGGATATGGCACACCGCCCGAAGAGAGATTTTCCTCTTTAGTGATCATGATTATCTCAATCGGCCTTGGCCTTCCTTTGCTCATTATGATCATTACCGGACTGTACCTTTGCATTCGTAGAAGGAAACGACAAGGCAACGTTTATTTAAGTCGATAAAAATGCTCAAACTCGTTACATTTAGGCGCTATTATACCACCATTGTTCTACACAAAGAGATATTCCTATATTTATATGCAACACGTATATTTTTACACGAACTATTTAGCTCGGATCTGATATCAGTGTGATAAGCGTGAGTGATAATCCGTTCTTTCACAACGTATTTAGCGTTAAGTGCGAGGCTTGAGTGTGGTTGCCTAGTTCTTTGTTATTAATATTTTAGGATAATACATTTGCAATAATGCGTTGTGCGTTGCCATTTGATGCAAACGTAACATTAGAACCAGCCACACTCGTTCCTGAATATATTACGAGAAAGCGCGACGTGTGTGTTAATTTGTGCGAAAGATTTGAACTTTTCTAGACGATTTCTTATTGAACATTGTATGTGTGTGTGTGAATACAGGATGCATGATTTATGAAATATATCCTATAATAAGTTGTACTACATTTTGTGGCCTCCTTTTATGATATACCGCTCCATACCTTTTTAATTTTAAAGTAAAATGTGATATGTCTACATTACTCGAGCTATACTTTTATGTCTTTTTCTCAGGGCTCAAAAAAATATGAAAATTACATTTCTCCGAATGCATACAAAGTCTTACGCACTCGACAAATTTATTCCGACTTACATGTATATTCTCGTTGTAATTTAGACATATGTTTCGCGTACATTTTGCATCTTATTTGCAAAATCGATAAAAAAAAAAGGGGAAAAAATCCAGAGCAAAGGGAATTTTGTATTATTTCCTCGGGGGAGCTAATCGCGTACGACAGCAGTATTCGAAGCAGCGAAGTGACAAATTCGATTGGCGCGTACAAAAGTAAGGTACACAAATTGACGTTGTAAAAACATACGGTTGGTGCATAAGCGGATTGGATATCCGCGAGACGCTTGGTCGCAATATCTGTTACTTTTACGCCGGGACCGTGTTTTCAGCAAGATATACGCATATCTCGGGGTGTT